CAAACGCAGTTTCCAATCTAATTCAACAGGAGTTCAAGTTTAGCCCCTGTGTAGTTCAAACGTGGCGCATGTGTAGTTCAGGTGTAAGTCAGGCGTGGTGCTGGGTAGCCCTTGTAGTTCAAGCCTAGTCGAAGTCGAGCTCAAGCGCAAGTCAAGTGTAGCCCAAGTGGAGTTCAAGTGTAGCTCAAGCGTTGTCCAAGCGCAGGTCGGGAGTAGCTCAAGTGTGGTTCAGGCGTAACCAATGCAGTCGAAGAGTAGATCAAGTGTAGCTCGAGTGAGCTTCAAGTTTAACCCAAGTGAAATTCAAGCGCGGTTCTGGCAGTGTGTCAGGTATAATTCAGGTGTGGTCCAGGTGTTGCGCTAGTAGTTCAAGTGCAATGCTGGTGTCTGTCAAGTGTGCTCCAAGTGTTGTTCAAGTGTGATTCAAACGTAGCATAATTGTAATTCAAGTGTGGACCAGGTGCAGTTCAAATGTTAGTTGTGGTTCAGGTACACCCCTTGTCGTTCACATGCAATCAAGTGTAAGCGAAGTGCAATCCAAATGTAGTTCAAGTGTGTGTGTTGTAGTTCCAGTGTAGGTCAGGTGTAGCCCGTGCGGTTCAAGTAATATTCACATGTACTTCAAATGTAATCCACGTGTGGCAAGTATGACTCAAGTGTGTTTCAAGTGTGAATCAGGTGTTATGCAGGTGTAGTGCAAGTGCGGCGCAGAAGTAGCCACTGCAGCTCATGCGTCGTTCGCGCGTAGTTTTGGAGGCGAGGGAATTTCCACCGACACCAACACAAACGGGGGGGGGGTGTCTGCACGTGGGGAATCTGATCCGAGATGTCGGCGTTGGTGGTGATCTTAGAAATCTTGCCACCATCACCGAAATTGGGGTCGTCTGCCCTCGGTGGAGGCGCGCCGCCGATCTTGGTATCGGTGCCAAACCCTGGGCCTGCGATAGTTCGCGCGTAGCTCAAGTGCGGTTTAGATAACATGTGGAGCCAGCGTGGTGCAAATGCAGTTCAGGCGCAGTGCAGGCGTTGCTCAAGTCCAAGCGACGCCCTCGCAGTTTTAGTGAATCCAGGTGTAGTTCAAGCGTAGTTTGGGTGTGTTCCGAGTGCAATGGTGCAGGTATCGTTCAAGCGTGGATCAACTGTAAATCAGATGTGGCTCGAGTGCGGTTCGGGCGCAGCCCTGGCGGCTCACAGCGCAGTTATGTACAAGTGTAGTTCAAGAGTAGTTCAAGCATGGTTCAAATATGGACCAGGTGTAGTTCAAGTGTGCTCCATGCGCGAACCTTGTAGTTCAAGTGTAGCTCACGTGAAGTTCATTGTTTCTCCAAGTCTATTTCGCGCGCAACGCAACTGTAGTCCAAGTGTGGCTCAAGTGTCGTCACGCAGTAGTTCAATTGCGATTCGGGTGTGCACCTGGCTGTTAAACTTGCGGTTCAAGTGTGGTGCGAGTGCTGTGCAAGCGCAATGTAAGTGCAGCTCGAGCGTAATTCAATGCTGCACAGGTGTAGGTCAAGTGTGGTTCAAATGCCGCCATTGTAAACCAACAGGTGCGCGTCAAGTGTAGTTCAACTGTGGGCCCAGTGTAGCCCTTGCAGTTCAAGTCCAGTCCAAGTGCAGTGCGAATATAATTCAGGTGTAGTTCAAGCGTAGCCCGACTGTATTTCAAGTGTGGTTTGCTTGTATTCCATACTGTTCAAGTGTATTCCAAATGTAATTTACACGTAGTCCAAATATTTCAAGTGCAGCTCCACTGTAGTTCGGGTGTAATCCAAATCCGGCCCAGATGCCGTTCTTTTCTGCCACGTGTATAGGAAACCTATTTCAAGTCCAGTTCAAGTGTCGCTCAAGAGTCGCTCAAACGCGGCCCAAGTGTAGCTTAGATGTTTGCGGCTCAGGTGTAGCCAGTTTTTAGTTCGATTCGAATGTAGTTCAAGTCTATTTCAAATGCAGTTCAAGAGTGGTTCAAACGATTTTCAATCCTAGTTCAAGTGTGGTTCGAAAGAAGTTCTGGTATAGTTCAAATATGCTTCGGGCGCAGCCCTGTCAGTTCAAGTGTAGATCCAGGCTTAATCCAAGTGAAGCCCAGGTGTAGCGCAGCTGCAGTTCAAGTGTGGACCAGGTGAAGTTATTGTTTTCAAGCGCAGAACAAATCTAGGCCAAGTGTAGTTGAAGTCCAGGTCAGGTGTAGTTCAAGCGTATTTCAAATGTGGTTCAACTGCAATTCAAGTGCGGTTGTATTCCACGTGGCTCATGTGTAGCTCAATTGCAGCTGGCATGAGGTACAGGTGCAAACCAAGCGTAGTTCACGAACTCTCAGGTGACCTGCCGGTGCAATCCATTTAGTTCTTGTGCACACCAAGCGTAAATCAAGCGTGCTTCGGACGTGGTTCGAATGCAATTCCCGCGTAATTAAAGTGTCGTCCAAGGTAGTGTAAGTGCACTCCAAGTGTTGCTCGACTGCAGCACGCAGCGAGGCGCCGCGTGGCCCCGCGCGGCCCCGCGGGGCGCGCAGGGGCACAAAGCGAATTCCAATTTGGGAAACGCTGCCTCGTAGCCCCGCGCGTCGCCGCACTGCTCAGGCGTGGCGCTTAGCTGGCCAAACTTTCGACGACAAAACGTGTTGCAACATTTCTTACCTTTCAAACGCACATGCATGGCACAACCACGATGCAAACACAATATGTTCAGCATGATGACATGCTTGCCCACGATACGCTCCATGCCCAATGGTAGGAAGATGCTGGGTTCAGTACCGTCAGTGTTGTGGGTCTAAACACGGCCGAAACGACCCATATGACGGAACAGTATCGCCTGACTACAAATATCAGAAATAACGTGGACAAGACTGGAAGCAATATCGAAAACTAAATCAGCCTGGCGAAGAACCCAAACATGTGCAGTTGCGAGTACCGGAATTGTGAGTACCCACTTACGCGGAACTCCTTATGGGGCAAAGCCCGCATGCGGTCTGTGCCGCTGGTGTCTTCGGTGAAGTTCCCTGTGGAGCCACGAAGCGTGTGAGGGGTGTGCCGAAACGTGGGTGTCGCTCAAATGCGGGCTGCGCCATTGGGGCCGTAGGTGGAGCTCCTTGTGGGGCCCCGAAACGTGTGAGGGGTGTGCCGACACGGGGGTGTCGCCCACATGCGGGTTGCGCCACTGGGGCCTTAAATGGTGCTCCCGATGGGGCCACGAACCGTGTGAGAGGTGTGCCGAAACGGGGTGTCGCCCACATGCGGGCGGCGCCATTGAGTCTTTCGGTGGAGCTCCTTGTGGGGTCACGAAACGTGTGAGGCGTGTGCCGAAACGGGGGGTGCCGCCCACATGCGGGCGGCGCCACTGGAGCCTTCGGTGGAGCTCCCTATTGGGTCGCGAATCGGATGGGAAGTGTGCCGAAACGGGATGTCGCCGACATGCGGGCGGCGACACTGAGGCCTTCGGTACATCCCGATGGGGCCACGAAACGTGTGAGGGGTGAGCCGGAAAGGGGGTGTCGCCCACAAGCGGGCGGCATCACTGGCGCCTGAAGTGGAGCTCCCTTTGGGGTCACGAAACGTGTGAGGGGTGTGCCGAAACGGGGTGTCGCCCACATACTTGCGGCGCCACTGGGGCCTTCGGTGGAGCTCCTAGTGGGGTCACGAAACGTGTGAGGCGTGTGCCGAAACGGGGGTGTCGCCCACATGCGGGTGGCGCCACTGGAGTCTTCGGTGAAGCTCCCTATGGGGTCACGAAACTTGTGAGGGGTGTGCCGAAACGTGGTGTCGCCCACATGCGGGCGGCGCCACCGGGGCTTTAGGTAGCTCCCTATGGGGCCGTGAAACGTGTGAGGCGTGTGCCGAAACAGGGGTGTCGCCCACATGCAGGCGGCGCCACTGGAGCCTTCGGATAAGCTCCCAATGGGGTTACGAAACTTGTGAGGGGTGTGCCGAAACGTGGTGTCGCCCACATGCGGGCGGCGCCACTGGGGCTTTAGGTAGCTCCCTATGGGGCCGTGAAACGTGTGAGGAGTGTGCCGAAACTGGGGTGTCGCCCACATGCAGGCGGCGCCACTGGAGCCTTCGGAGAAGCTCCCAATGGGGTTACGAAACTTGTGAGGGGTGTGCCGACACGTGGTGTCGCCCACATGCAGGCGGCGCCACTGGGGCTTTATGTAGCTCCCTATGGGGCCATGAAACATGTGAGAGGTGTGCCGAAACGGGGGTGTCGCCCACATACTTGCGGTGCCACTGCGGCCTTACGTGCTCCCGATGGGGCCACGAAACGTGTGAGGGGTGTGCCGAAACGGGGGTGTCGCCCACATGCGGCCAGCACCGCTAGAGTCCTTCGGTGGAGCTCCTAGTGGGGTCACGAAACGTGTGAGGGGTGCGCCGAAACGGGGGTGGCCTCGAGACGGCCACGTTCGTTCCAAAATGGCCCTCGCCTATTTCTTCGTTGCCTTCTTTCTCTACTGGCTTCTCTTCTCCTCCTTCGTGATTCTCGTGAATGCCCCCCAGGACCGCTGGGAGCTACATGTGGATCTCCCCGAGCACGGCCGTGAAGCCCGCCAGCAGTTCCAGACAGAAGGCTTATGCGTCCCTCATCGAACACGGACGCCGATTCGCGAAAACACTTCTCCGTCCGGAGCCCAGAAGGTCCGGGGGTCAGGGGTGGTCACAGGGCCAAAGCTCAAACGTGGCGGACTGGGCATAGTAGCGCGGGGGATGGAGGGAGCTGGAGCAGAATGAAAAACGCCTCCGAACCCCCTCCCGATGCTGACGCGGAACGATCGACGAGACCTGCACATGGACGGACACATCGAGCTTGGATCGGCGATACATCGCCGATAGCTCGGCGCTGGGCCCCCGACAACGAAACAACCAGGTTCCTGAGCGGGTTGGGCGCTAAGGCTCCCATCGACGATGAATGGGCGATTGTGGGTCGAATCTCCCCACCCCGAGCCATTCCCCCCCCTTTGACGCTGCCCCTGAGAGGCGACCGCCGCGACGAGAGGGAGATCGCCGCGCCTCGCCGCGGTGCGGGGTCGAACTGGACGAAAGCGTACCTGACGGCTCTTGCGCGCGCGCGAGGGCGCCTCCCTCGGGTGCGCCGAGGATGCAGAAGCGCGTGCCATCACTCGCAAATGTTCTGGATCCGCCGCGGGGGATTTACGGATTTACGATGCATTACATCGGGGCAAACCTGTGGCTTTTCCCTACGTCTGCGAGCAAGGCGTGCTGCGAGCAGTGGAGCGCGCTCGGTGAGCGGAGGGGAGGGGGCCGGCACGGGGCCGGGAAGGCGCCCCGGGCGCAGGCAGCCCCGACTGCCCGAGCTCACTATGGGGGAGAGTCTCGCCCGCGCCCACGCGCTCGCTCGCTGGGTGCGGCCGCGCGCTCGCACGCGTGCGCCTGCGCGTCGGCGCGCCTTCGCGCGTCGGTGCGCGCTCGCAGGAACGCGGGGGAAGCGCATCGTGGCCCGAGGCGTGTGCACGAGCGAGGCGGGGGCCAGGGAGCGGGCTGAAAAAACACCGGCGGACACCTGGGAGATGTTGAATGGCCCCGGCCATGACATCCACACCGCCCCAGCCTTCCACCCCTCCTGGACGCCCCCGACTCTCAAAAAGCGAAACACGGCGCAAACACAACTTGTCGGAAGTCCGCGCAGATTCCTCGGGTCGTCGCTGGGCATCCCCCCCCCTGGTGGCGCCTTCGGCGCCAAACCGGGCGCGCTCCGCGCGCCTTGGGAGGGGTGCCCACACAAACCCGAATAACCCGCCTGGAGCACCGACAATTCACACTTTCCCATCTCCCGTCAAGGATGGCAGACGCTTGAGGTCCGTGGTCTGTATAGCGTTCCAGTCTGACCGTGGGACACACGCGGCCTGGCCCCGCTGGAATCGGGAACCCCGCGGGAGACCACTCGGCCGAGACGCTCCATGTGCGCTCCCAGATATCGCGCGGCTAGGTTTTCGAAGCGAGGGCCACCACACCTCTCGGCCACTCCCCCCGGGGCTGAGGGGCAACGTTAGGGGGGACCTGCTCAGGAGGGAAACATCGAGCTGGAATCGGCGATGCATCGCCGATATATTGGCGATCGCCTCCAACCAAGCCCCCGATTGTGAGTCTGGACATTCTGGGCAGAATGGGCTATCAGGCCCCATTCGGCGATGAAGTGCAACTGGGGGTCGATGCGTTAACCCCTGATCAAATGATCATCGTTCCAGATCGTTTCTTGACGGCTCCAGGACCCGAAACTGGCTTTGGCGAGAAACTGGCGGCCTCGACTTTTTCGAGCCGCCAGATCTATGAGTTGTTTTGTTGTTCTCTCTGTCTCTCTGTTTTTTTTTTTTCTCTCTCTCTCTCTCTCTCTCTCCCTCTCTCTCTCTGAGGAACAACAAGGAAAACTGCATGAGCACCGCCTTTCGTGGGTTCGGGTTCGGGCCAATTCCTCGGGTCGGCGCAGGACCCCCCCCCCTTCCCTGGCGCGCGAAGTGCGCCGGAAGCGGCGCCGCAAGGGGTCTCCAGCGCCGACCAAGGACATCCGCGCGGACCTGCGAAAACTTTTCCCCTGACGACTTGTCTGCAAGGTCTCCACAAACTCCTCCTGACGCCCAGTGAGGAATGCCGGGCCCCGTGCAGAGCTATCTGGGGTCTTTCTGCCGCAGGGCATCGTTCGACTCTCTCTCTCTCTCTCTCTCGGGGGCGGGTCGTGCTTGGCACCGTCGCGGCAGTCGCGAGGCGGGGGGCACCCAAGCTTCTCGTTGATCTCCATGATGGCCGCCTGGGCGCGGCGGCAGCAGGCGCTGCTGCCCAGCCCCAGCCTACCGCATTCGAACGCGTCGGGCGGGAGCGCCCCCCTCCGGAGGGCGGGCCCGCAAGGGAGGCGACCTGCCCTGACAGCGTCGGCGACACATCGGCCGCACATCCGCTGCTCACGAGCGGAGCTAGCCTTATGGCCTCCAGCTGGTGTCTTCCTTCCTTGCTCCCCTCTCCTTCCCCCTGGAGTCTGGGGGGGGGGGGAGAAAACGAAGGAGGGAGGATGGAGAACAAGCAGGAGGACTGGGAGGGTGGGGAGGAGCAGAAGGCGGAGGAGAGGCAGAAAGAGAGAGAGGGATGGAGAGAGAGAGAGAGAGAGTGTGATAACAAAAACAGACAGAGAGGAAAAGGAGCAGGAGGAGGAGCAGGAGCAGGAGCAGGAGCAGGAGCAGGAGGAGGAGGAGGAAGATGAAGAGAGAGAGATAGAGAGCGATTGAGAGAGAGAGAGGGACCAACAAAAAAAATATACTCGAGGGGAAACATATACAGGAGTATGGATAAGGTCGAAGCAGGGAGGCGGGATGAAAGAGAATCGTGGAAAAGCCGGAATGATGGAATGTACAGAGAACAAAAAAGAAAGGGAAGGGCGGATGGGAGAGAGGGAGCAGGCAGGAGGGAGGGATGGAGGGGAAGGAAAACATGGGAGGGAGATGCGGAGGAGGGGAAGGGAGGGACGGTGGGAGGATGGGGAACAGCAGGAATATAGGTACGCAGCGGCGAGGCAGAGGAGGAAGTGGAGCACGAGATGAGAAAGAGGACAGGTGAGGGGGAGAGGGGCCAAGGAGGAAGGAGAGCAAGTAGGAAGAGGACAGGGACAGCAGGGCGAAGGAAGAGGAGGAATCTGAGCATAGGGAAGACGAATACTGTGAGCATGCGGGTGAGAAAGGCACAGATGGTGAGGTGGCTTCAGGAATATGAGGATGTCATCACCCTGATGCAAACTAAGGAAGCCCACTCGGCACTCTCGAAATACGACACTCGAAGCTCTCGTACACTGGCGCTCACATGGCATGCGGATCAACTGAAAACAACGCAACCCTCCCCAACTGCATACAGCCACCCCTCACCATCTTGAGCTCATCATCGTTCCCCATCCTACTGAACTTCACGTCCTCCCCCGGACACGGGGCCAGCCTGGTTACCACACCTATAGCAATAATTCGGCGCGGAGAATATGGTGACGACCTTCGCGGAAATAGTTAGACTGCATGGGAGCCAACAGGCTTGAACTGTGCTTTACAACAACGTGAGGGAAGCAATACCTCTTGCAAACACTGCACACCTGTATAAGGATGAACGACATCAACATGTAAACTCAATGATACCAGAGAAAACCCCCAATCATGATCTTTTTCGGGCTTTAGGGCTGTGGGGCTTTAAGGCTATAGGGCTAGAAGGCTATGGGGCGATAGGGTTACAGGACTACAAGGCCACAGGGCTATGTGGCTATTGGGCTATAGGGTTATGGAGCTGTAGGGCTATAGGGCTATAGGCTATAGGGCTATAGGGCTATAAGGCTATAAGGCTATAGGGCTATTAGGGCTATAGGGCTACAAGGCTATAGGGCTATATAGAGCTACCGGGCACATGGGCACCCGGGCACCCGGGCACCCAGGCACCCGGGCACCCCTGGGCACCTGGGCGTGCGGCGAAAATCGGCGGCAAACCTAACCTAACCATACGAATCCGCTAGGACCCCTACAGAGGCAAGCTCTGATTGGGGAAGCACATTAGATACGGATGACATTGTCGTGCACGACATAAGGGCCCGTCTGGTTTAAAACGCATCCCCATGCTATCCCCAAGACCACCTGGGGTCCCTAGCCACCGTGCCGCCTGGCACGAGTTGGAATATCCTCAGGTCCCTTGGAATCCCACGTTGAATACTGTAATGCTCCTCGAGATGCCCACGTTGAATACTGTAATGCTCCACACGGCCTGAAGAAAGCCCGAGAGGCCCGCGAGACGCGCCAACAGAGCGCCAAGAGAACCCTCTAGAGGTCCCCTAAGAGGCCAAGCAGCACTGATGTTCCTGTTTGAAGGATTTGCGTGCTCGCTTTTTCGGGCTCACGACGCTCCAAGACGGCCCAAGAGAACTCCAAGATCGCCCAAGGACGGCGCATGAGGCCCCCGAAGGGCCCCAAGACGGCCCAAGGTATCCCCAACACCACCCAAGAGGCCCCCAGCGCGGCCACAGAGGGTCCCACGAGGATCCCAAGAGGTGCTAAAGAGGGGGAACACGAAATGACATTTCGAGCCCTCCGCCCTCAGATGACCCCCGAGACCCCAGCAGGCCCCCAAGAGGCTGGCAAGGAGCCTCGGGATGCCCCCGGGATGCCGAAATGAGGCCCCAAGCGGCCGAAAAGAAGTTCCAAGACACCCCACACCTGAATCTAAGAGGCTTCCTAAAGGACTCCCAAAAGATACCAACATGCATGCAAGAGACTCCTGACTTACAACCCATGCTCGATGGCGGGATCGGCAGAAGGGCATTAGATGTTTATACATAGCATGCAGACCAGAATAATGGAACCACATCTTAGATGCCTGCTGCTTCACTCACACTCCGCTTCCTCCCGCCTTCCAAAGATGTTCTCGAGGCAGGGGGCTCCCGGCCAAGAAGACTGTAAGCCAGCACACTAACATAATAAACATTCAACACGCCAACCATCGGACGAACAGAAACAGCCAACCAACACAGCGGCCAACAAGTCAAACATGCCACCACCAGTCTTCGAGGTAGCGCGATCTACCGTCGCTCGACTGGAAAAATCGCCCCCCCGCCTTTTTCGAACCCAGGGGCGTGGTTCCGCCCCCCCTGCTCCCAGTTCGGAGGGGGGGGGGGTCTTGCCAGTAGCAGCAGAAAGAGCTGTTTCCAATATTCAAGAGAGCGTGATCCACCACCGCTTTGCTGTGGAAATTTCCCCCCCCCCCCCCCCCCCTCTTCGTCTCTTCTTCCGGAACCAAGGGTTCCCTCCCCCCCTCTCCGAAAATCCCCTCCCCCCCTGCCCGAACCCACCCCGTCCTCCCCCGGCAAATCTCTTCCTGCCAATTCCCCCCCCTCCGAAAACCGGGAGGGGGTCACTACCGGTTCAACCCCACTCGCCGCCAGCAAACACGATCCCTGGGTCCCCCCACTGTCCTCACCACCGCCCTCACCACTGTCCTCACCACCCACTGTCCCCACCACTGTCCCCACCAGTCCCACTGTCCCCATTGTTCCCACCACTGTCCCCACTGTCCCCGCCAATGCCCCAACCACTGTCGCACTGTCCCAACTGTCCCCACCACTGTCCCCACCATTGTCCCACTGTCCCCACTGTCCCCGCCACTCTCCTACTGTCCCCACTATCCCTCCAAGTGTCTCACTGGCGCCACCGTCCCCACAGCTGTCCCCACTGTCCCCACTGTCTCATTATTCTACCACCGTCCTCACCACCGCCCTCACCACTGTCCCCGCCACAACCGTCCACACCACTGTCCCACTGTCCCCACTATCCCCACCACTGTCCCCCCTATCCCCTCACCACTGTCCCCACCACCACCGTCCCCACCACTGTCCCACTGTCCCCGCTGTTTCCACCAGTGTCCCCACTGTCCCCACCAGTGCCCCCACCACTGTCGCACTGTCCCCACTGTTCCCATCACTGTCCCCACCACAGTCCCAGTCTCCCCACTGTCCCCAGTCCCCACCACTGTCCCACTATCCCCACCACTGTTCCACTGTCCCCACTATCCTCACCACTGTCTCACTGTCCCCACTGTCCCCACTGTCCCCACCGCTGTCCCCACTGTACCACTGTTCCATTGTCCCACCACCGTCCTCACCACCGCCCTCACTACTTACTGTCCCCGCCACCACCATCCCCACCACCGTCCCACTGTCCCCACTGCCCCCACCACTGTCCCCCTGTCCCCTCATCACTGTCCCCACCACCACCGTCCCCACAACTGTCCCACTGTCCCCCCTGTCACCACCACTGTCCCACTGTCCCCACTGTTCCCACCACTGTCCCCTGTCCCCGCCAGTGCCCCCACCACTGTCGCACTGTCCCCACTGTCCCCACCACGGTTCCTCTCTCCTCACTATCCCCACTGTCCCCACCACTGTCCCACTGTCCTTACAATCCCCACCACTGTTCCCACCACTGTCCCGACTGTCCCCACCGCTGTCCCCACTGTACCACTGGGGACAGTGGGGACAGCGGGGACAGTGCACCTGTCCCCACACTGTCCCCACCAGTGCCCCTGCCCCCACCACTGTCCCACTGTCCCCACTCCCCACCACCGTCCCCACCACCGTGCAAACCACTGTCCCCACCACAGTCCCAGAGGGGAAGTCGCTTGCCGGTCCCCACCACTGTCCCACTGTCTCCACTCCCCACCACCATCCCCACCACCGTCCCAACCACTGTCCCCACCAGTTCCCAATCTGGAATGGAGGAGGGGGAGTCGTTTGCCGGCAGCCATGAGAGGGGGGCTCGAAGCGGTAGTGACCCACCCCCTTTTCATGATGGACCGGGGGCGGGGGGGAGGGGGTTGGAACCCCCAGTGACCCCCCATGGTTGTCGAGGGGGGGGGACGGGTTGGACCTCCCCAGTGACCCCCCCAGTTTTCTGCCAGCAGCGGCAGAACACGCTCTTTCCAATATTATAACCAGCCAGCCAGCCTATCAGGCCAGCCAGCCATCCAGCCAGGAGCAACCAGCCACCGAACCAACAAACCCATGAACTAACTGACAGAGGGTACTACCAACAAGACATCCGTTTGAACAGCCAGCCAACCAACTAACCAATGCACCTTCCAACTAACCAACCAACAAACCAACGAATCAGCCAGCCAGCCAGCGAACACGGCAACGAGCAGACTCAGCCAGCCAGCCTGATGGTAAAGCAAGCAACAACCAACCAAAGAACCCAACAGCCACACAACTAGCCAGCAAGTAGTCCAAATTCAGGAACGCTTGTATTAGCGAAGCCCGCCAAACCCGCCCGTACCACGAAGACATCAGAGACTTGTCGTTGGAACCACGTCAGGATGCTGCGAGCACAGTGGGCTTGAGTCTGAATGAATGGAGAAGACCTACGGACTCGCTGAAGGCTGGAGATGGCGTGTGGTCAGGCGCCACCCTGCGGCACAGCTTCGTGGATCTCTTGCCTCCGAGCTGCAGGCAGCAAATGCCTCACCTTCCACAAGGCACCTCGTCCTGGCCACAGAAATGGGTGGAGCCAGAACATCGTCCTGCGCACTGGCACGGTCCGCGAGGACTTCTTGTGGATCGGAGCTGGACCCCCCGCCTGGCGCGCGGGGCGCGTCAGGGGCGGCGCTAGATGCTCCGCCCAGGGCTCCCAGCGCCGATCCAAGACATTCGAGCGGATCTCCGAAAGTTCCTTCTTAGACCTGGAAGCTCACTGAAGCTTCTGGCCCAGCGCACCCTGCTCTGAGATTGGCGGCGCGCACAAGGGGGTAGGGGGAGTGGGGAAGGCTTCTGAGAAGCAGGCTGCTTCTTAGAAGGCGCCAGCCCTACAACTACAGATCAGGCCCGCGCCTTCTAAGAAGCAGGGGTGCTTCTGAGAATCCTTCTCCCTCCCCTGTAAGACGAAGTCAGGACGAGGATACGATCGGGTGAGGATAAATCGAGAATATCTGCGACCTGGCGGCTCTGGAGAATAGATCGGGCGCCGCGGCCTTCTCAGAGCGTTCCGGAACGCTCTGGAACGAATTCATCCGCGTTCTAGCCCCGTCCGGCTCTCCACCTGCGCCCATCTGCGCGTGGCCGGTGAGAGCTGCACTGAGGCTTCCGCCCCGGCGCACCGCCCAGGCAGGAGATCCTTCGCCTCCCCACGGGCCGCGGTCTCTCTCTCTCTCTCTCCTTCTCTCTCTCTCTCCCCCCCCAAGATCCGACTCTCGAACAAAAAGGAGGCGTCGTGAAAAATCGCGACTGGAGCCCCCCCCACACCCTATCTTTCTGAGCTGTTTTCTCGGGCCAGATCGATCTGCGAGGGTGCTGGGGCCCGCATGCGACAACGCCCGGCTCGAAGTCGAGGCGCCGCCAGCCTCTCGGGGCCCCTCCCTCCTCGAGGAGCGGAGCCGCGGCGGGCGCCTGCTTGTCGTGGCACCAGTTGTAGCCCTCCATGATCAGCTGGTGGGCCTGGGCGTGTGGGCTCCCGGGGTCGGGCATGTCCTCCTACAGGCGGAGTTTGGGCGAAATATCGGAAGTTGCCACAACAGACCATCTAGCCCATATAGCCCATATAGCCGCGCCGCCCATACAATCGAACCACGCCCTATAGCCGCGCCGCACTGCGGCTCGCCGCCTCGGCCCGCCGTGGCCGGCCCCCGCCTCCCGAGCAGGCGCTTTTGCCCCCCTCGCCCCCCGCGTCCAGGGCGAGGCCAGGACGAGGAGCCCCGGCGCCCCCTGAGAAGGCCTGCTCCTCCTCGCCTCCAGCCCTCGCCCGCCGCCGCATGAGGCTCCTGCTCTTCAGGGGGGGGGGCGATGGACACATCCCGGCCTCGGAGCATCGGCCTGGCGCGCTGGGCGCCCGCCCTTCCAGGCCGCGGCGAGACCCCCGCAGGGTGCGAGGCGGAGGGTGGGGGCCAGAGGGCAAGGTAACATATCGAGGGGACACCTGTGCTCGTGGAGCCTGTGCAACTGGATGTTCAGATGTTCGACCACATCCGGCATCCCACGCTCACCCGGGCACCCTCTTGCGACGCAGACCGCCGCCAGATACACGCGGTGCCCGCAAGACACTTTTGTTCCCAGCGCCGGCGGACGCGAGCGCGACTGCTGAGCCGACGGGCCGCGCCGGACACTGGGCGCACTGGAGCGGGTGGAGAAAACTGAACGGCCGTGGGGGAGGGGAGGAGGAGGAGGCCCGGACCGACAAGACACGGCGCAGGTCGGGAGCGCGCAGGTCGGCCACGCGCAGAGCGGGGTAGGGGTAGGGGGGAAGGCTTCTTGGAGACACCCCTGCTCCTTGAAGGCGCGGGCCTTGTCTGTGGATGCAGGCCCGGCGCCTTCTGAGAAGCAGCCTCCTTCTGAGAAGCCTTCCCCCCTCCCCCTGCCCCCCTGTGTGCGCCGCCGAGCAGGTCGGGAGCGGCCAAGAGGGGGGTGTCCAAGAGGGGGGGTGCAAATCATGACCGGCGGCATGTGCGCGGCCCAGCGGGGGGCCCAGGGACGTAATGAAATAAGAAGGGGCGCCATGAAATCTGGGGATATATCATGGCCCCCGCCATGATATCCCCCCCCCTAGTCATCACCCCCCTCTTTTCCGCCCCCGAGCAGGGGTGCCCCAGAAGACAACGGCCGGGGACAGGGCGCCCGCCCGTGCCCAGCGCGCCGGGGCGGGCGTCACCGCCAGTGCCGCAGCACGCTGCAGGCGAGTCGGGCAGCGCCTCGGGCAGCGGCGCGGCAGCGCCGGCGCCGCCGTGCGGCCGCGGTGGCCCAGAGGCGCGGCGGGCCCTTCGGCACGGGCGCGCTCCCGGAGGGCCCTCTGAGCGGGGGCGGCGCGTCGCGGGGGCCCGGCCAGGGGCCTCGGCGCGGGGAGGGAAGGCTCGGGCGCGCTCCGTGCAGCAGCTGGCGCGCAGGCGTGGCCGGAGGGCGGGCCCGGGGCACCTCCGGCCCGAGGCGGCGGTGTCCGAGCGCGGGTGTCGCAGGGGCGGCCCAGGCCAGGGCCCGCTGTGGCAGGGCGCGTTCGCCTCGGGTGCGCTCCGGGGGGGGTCCCTTTTCTGGCCCGTGGCCTGACCTGCGGGGTGGTGGACCTACGATCCCCCCTGGGGAGGCGGAAGCGAGCGGGAAGAGGAGCAGCAGCGGGAGAGGGTGGGGAGCAGTGCGAGGAGGATGCAGTATAGTGAGACAAGGGAGTGGCGGAGGGGGGGGGACCATGAACTCTGACACACATTCCCTCGAACAGCATCGCGCTCGGCGAAAGCGGATGTGCTGTTGTGATGAGTTCATGAGTGTGCGTGCCAATGCAGCTCAATATGGTTCACGTGGACATTCGACAGGTTGTGCGAGTATCAATGATAGCGACTGCTCACAAAATTGTATCGCAAATGAGTGGCGGCAGAAGGAGAGAAATCAGTCCCTGGAAACTGACTGTCCTGCGTGACACAACATTGGCATGGTCTTTCCTGTGGCATAGCAAACGTGACAACGACATTCCTGAAGATCACCAAGCTCTCAAATCTGCTGTGCGGGCGTGCCCGTGCGATAAGCGTGAGGCTGTTGCACTGGTTAAACTTTTCGGACATGTCCTGGCGATCCCAACCATTTCCATGAACTGAACAAAAGCCACCTCAGGCGCTGACCTCTGCGTGCTCAGAATTACCACATGATGCCGTTCGCTGCTGTGTCCGCTGAGCCCTGGCCAACTGATGTCTACTCGTGGCCATGTATCCGCCACCGCGCTTGCAGCGTGGCACTGCCTTCCCAAAGCCGCCCCCTGAGGGGCAGTAGCAGGAGCCCCTTCGAAAAGAACCCCGAGAAGGATCCATTGTCGTAGCAACCGACTTCGACTCCGGGGTCCCTCGCTCACGTCACCCACCCGTCGCGCTGCGCGGAGCGCCAGACGAGAGCGAAGCACCGTTATCCTCGAGCCCCTGTGGGCCACCTGACAAATTTCGAAGCGCCCATTTCGGACAAAAAATGCCCAGTGCCCAGACCCTGGGATGAGAAACATACGAAACTGCATAAACAGCAACTTTCGGAAGCCCTCGTGGAGATCGGCGCTGGAGACCCCTCCTTGGAACGCTGCGCGCGCCAAGGGTGGCCCCAGTGGGGGCCCAGCGCAGATCCAAGAAATCAGCGCGGAACTCCGGAAATGTCTGTTTTCAGCTGTGCTTATCATTCTTCTCATGCTTCTTCTTCTTCGAGTGATGTGGCATTTCTCTCTGCCCCTCGCCCCAGTTCCCTGCCTGCTGCCGGCCCCCAGCCCCAGCCAGCATGGCAGCCCCGCAAGCCTCGTACCGCCAGCCCTGGCCTCTCGCCTGCACCTTCAGGGTCGTCGGTTTGCTCCTCCATTCCTTTCTCTCTCCCTCCCCTCCTCCCTCTCTGTCTATCTCGTCTGTTTGTTCTGCTTTAATGTGTCTCTCTCTCTCTCTCTCGCTGTCCGTCTCCCCCTCTCTATGCCTCTGTCTCTCTATATCTCCCTCTCTTTCTCTCCCTCTCTGCCTCTCTCTCTGTTGTGATTATTCCTCTCCCTCTCCCACACGCACACACGCTCTCTCTCTCTCTCTCTTTGTCTGTCTGTCTGTCTGCCTGTCTGTCCGTCCGTCTGTCTGTCTGTCTGTCTGTCTCTGTTTGTCTGTCTGTCTCTCTCTCTCTCTCTCTCTCTCTCTGTCTCCCTGTATGTATGTATGCATGCATGCATGCATGCATGCATGCATGCATGCATGTATGTATGTATGTTTATATACCTCCTTCTCCTATCGACGCGTTGAATACGACTCGCCTCCTTGAGCCAAATACGTCCCGAGAGTGGCGTGCCCGCCTCCACGCATTAATTTGTATACACACGCACGATTGGTCATAACTTCTTTGTTCCATCGGAACGTTCTCGGCGCTGTAGCGAGGGCCTCGTTTCATGATCGGCGTTGTGCTCCCGCCGTTTCGAATGGCGATGTCGCCCCACGGCGGGCCATCTGTCTCCTTCCTCATCGTCGTCGTTGTCGCCCCCCATCTTTCCCCTCCTCCGTCGCCCCCCGGTCCTCCTGTTCCTACCGCTCCTTCCGTTCTAGCTCCTGCTGCTGGCTTTCGTAGTCGTCCTCCTCTTTCCTCATCGTCTTCCTTTTCCTCATGCCCTCATGCTGTTCCTATCCCTCCTCCTGCTCATCCTCCACTTCCTCCTCCAACATGCGCAACGCAACTCCCCTTGTCCGAATGCGCACAACGCGACGGGGTCGTTTTGGGAGCTCCAGGTCGGGTACGGCCTGCGTCGATGGATATGAACAACAGTCAGCGCAGTGGGAAGGGAGAGGTGGGACGGGGGCAGGCTTGCAGATGTGACGCGAGCACGCCCAGCTGGCCCTCTCCTCCAGCGGCACTGCGGGCCCCTTTGCCGCGGGCGCACTCTGCTCGGAACCAGCAGCCTTCCCCGCAGCCCCTCGAACGGGGCGGTGAACAGGGCGGTTCCCCCCGCGGGGGCGGCCTGCTGTCGGAAACAGCGGCCGCCCCTGGGGGCGCAGGGCTCTGCCAGCAGGGGCCTCGACTGGGAATGCCCGTGCACTTGGCGGCGCACGCGACGAAGCATGCGTCGACCGCGAGCACCGCCCAGCGCCCCGGGCCCAAGCAAGGCCTCAAGGGCCGCCGCCTCGGTCCTCCGCAACCTCTCCCTCTCTCCCTCCACGCCTCCCCCCACCTCTGTGGAGCCGTCTGGCCCCTCTCCGAGGCCGACGTGCCCCCGGCGAGGCGTCGCAGGGGCCGCGTCTCCAGCCAGCCAGAGCTGTGCGAGAAGGCCTGGGCCACATCATCCCGAGGTGGGATCGATGGTACTCGTGAGCCCTCCCCCCCACACGCAGATGCTAGAGGCTTCCTAGATGGGGTCCGAGCAGATGGGGTCGAAAGATCGCACCGTCGGTGCGGAGAACATCGGGCTTCGCATCGAGCCGAATCGGCGATGCATCGGCGAGTCGGCGCGATCCTCCGACCACATCTGCTGGAACCCCATATGGGAGGCCTAGAGACGCGAGCTGCGATTGCACGCGCCTCAGCCGGGGGGGGACAAGACCTGCGCCCCGGCGGGCTTCGGCGTTGGGGCCACGGCGGCCGGTAGCCACCGCTACGGGCACTTCACTGCGCCAACCTTCCAGCTGCATCTACATACTGCTGACACGGTGCCTCGGAGTGAGTCGAGTCGAGTCGAGTTGAGTCGAGTTCATCCCTCCGGTTTTTACCTATCTTGTCGCTTCTGCCGCTCCTACCGTTCCTGTCGCTCCACCCGCCCCGCGTTCCTTCCCCTCCCAGCTCCCTCCCCCTCCCCCTCTCCCCGTTTCCCTCGCCCCCTCCCTCGCCCCTTCCCCTTTCCCGCTCCCCTTCCCTTCCAGCTCCCTCCCCTTTCCCTTCCCCACCTCCCTCGCCTCCTCCGTCTCCCACTCCCTCCCCCCCACTCGTGGGTTTGATGACGCTCACGAGCCTCGGCGCAAAGTGAGCGTGAATGGCCGGTCTAAGGATCCGTAAGGGAGGTTTTCTTCAAGACTGCTTGGCGCGCGGAGCGCGCCAGGGGCAGCGCGGGAGCCGCCAAGGGGTCCCAGCGCGGATCCAAGAGAACCGCGCGGAGCTCCGAAAGTTGATGTTTTTGCCGTCTGTCCCTTCTTCGACGACCCAGCGTGCTGAGAGCAAGGCTGCCTGCGTGCGCGCAGTCAGGGCGGGCGCCCCTCTGGGGGGCCCCCCCGCGGCTGGCCAGGCTGAGCGGGCTCGCTGCGCCCCGGACGGGCGGCCAGCCTGGAGCGGCGTGCTGCCCGCCGTACGGAGGCGATGGCAACATAAATGCCCTGAGGGCCCCTCTCCCGAGCCACGCTCGCGTTTGCGGAAGCTTACCCGAGTCACTATGTTGGCGGGCTAGCGACAAACAGCGGCAAATGGCAGCGACCGATTAGCAGCAAGTAGCGGCGCACGCCCCGCGCCGACCGTCCACCGATCCCCCCCTGTTCGCCGCCAGTGCCACCTAAACGCCCCCGAACAAGCTGTCCGTACGTTTTTCAAGACTTCGGAGCCAGGGTGCGTTTCTTCTGGGGCACGCTTGGCAAGTTGGAGCCAGGGCCGGGACAGCTCGGGGATCTCTGCGAGCTGGCGGGTCGAGAGAAGATGCATCGGGCGCCGCACCAGTTCGAAGGATTGCAAAAAAAACCCGAAGGATTGCAAAAAAACCTGGATTACAAAAGAAACCCTGAACGAAGGATTGCAACGAAGGATTGCAAAAAAAACCTGAACGAAGGATTGCAATCCTTCGTTCGAGCGCCCCGGGAAGCTCCGAGAGCGTTCTGGAACGCTCCGGGGCGACCTGCCCCGACCCTGGGCCTGCGCGACTCTCTCTCTCGGCTCTCTCCCTTAGTGAGTCGCAGAAGGACGTGCGAACACAAGTAAGTGCACGTCGGTCGGAAGAAGTAGGTAGAAACATGAAGTAGGAAGGCGGATATAGTAGATTGGGTCCAGGTCCTCCAAAATAATAACAAAACACAGCAAAAGCATGTCGATTCATGAAGTAGGAAGGCGCTTGAAGTAGATTGGAATCTGGGAATCCAAAAATACCTACTTTCAACGACCGGCGTGTAACTACGTGCATGAATATGAGTACCCCGCGAGCGGGCCGTGCAGTGAAAGGGAACGACGATCGGAGAATTTTACGTGGCGCTGTCGAACATTCATGTGCGTAGACGCCCCCTTTCCGCTCCTTACCCCTCTCTCTATCCCCCCTCTCTCTCCGTCGCCTGGCAACGCAGACTGCCGGAAGCCGGCGGCACCGCGCACCCCTCCGCTGGGCGGAGCGCCCCAGGTTTGCTGAGTTGAGTGCGCCGCAGTATCCCTCCATGGTAAAAACAATCAATTACATAAGCCTCATAGACTTTTGCTGCCCGCCCCCCCCTGTCGCGCGAAGCGCGCATAGGGGCCCAGCGACGACCCGAGAAATCCGCGCGGACCTCCGAAAGCTAATCTTTGTGCAGGCTTCTGTTCCTTGATTCGGGGCGGCACGAGTAGTGAGGGTCCCCCAACGGCTCCTTAAACGGCCCAAGATCCTGTGCATGACAGCCCCAGGGTACGGTCCACGACCGGCATCTACAACGGGCACTCCCAGACCTCTGAAGACAGCATCTGGACCGTCCCCCTCGCCCAGAAGACTGGCGAAGACGAACCAAGATCGCCCAGAAAGACCAAGATCGTCCACGGCGACAATCAAACCGAAAACTGGCCGAACCGACAGCGAAACCCATACCGACCGAATCCAACAGACGGCAAGCAACCCAGAAAGGCGCAACGACGCAACAACGACACAACAACCGATCGAACCAAACCAACCTAATGCAACCAGCTGCGACGCAGCCGAACCGACCGAACCGTGGACATCCTTGGATGCTCCTCTAACACCCTCTAACCGACCAGCCACAACTGGGGGTATGTTTGCTACCACCACCCCCGGGGATGCCACCATGTTGACGATCTCTCGAGAGAGAGAGCCGAAGACGATGGGTCCCCCAGAAGGGGGTCCCATCCAGCGAACCCCGGTTGTGACGCATCTGGCCAAAGAGCCCTCTGGCAGGGCACCGGAAGGGCAAAGAGTAGGATACGAGAAACTGCAGCATCATCTTTCGGAAGTCCGCGCGGATTTGAAGAGGAGGAGGAGGAGGAGGAGGGGGAGGAGGAGGAGGAGGGGAAGGAGGAGGAGGAGGAGGAGGAGGAGGAGGAGGAGGAGGAGGAGGAGGAGGAGGAGGGGGAGGAGGAGGAGGAGGAGATTTCCTGGACTGGCGCTGGAGCCCCTTCCCCAGCGGGCGAGGCGCCCCGAGGGCGGCGCAAGAGGTCCAGCGCAGATCTCAGAAGGCTGCCAAGACCTGCGAAAGCATAATGTAATACAAGGGGGGTCGCAGCCCTCCCAGACAAGCAGTTATATTATACACCACTCCCAGGCAGGCCTTGAAAAGGCGGCCTTTTGCCCAGACCCTCCAGAACCCTCCACGACAGCTCAAATCCCCCCCCCCAATCAAGCGACCCACGTTGTTGTGGGATCCAAAGCATTCTTCGAGGGGGGTTGAAAGATCTGGTAGCTTTCGTAGGTGGCGACCTCTGAAACCTACCCCCATCTGCCATCCACTCTCCTGAATCGATGGGAGGCCGGGGTAGGATTCGGATTTCGCCACGTGTTCGACGGAATCCGAACCTCACCCCCGCCGCCCATCGAGTTGCCTGAATCGTTGATCGGCGAGGGTAAGGTTCGGATTTCGCCAACGATTCCAATGCCTTTCTTCCTGCCACGTGCCCTGTGCAAGCGCCCCTCGAGCCCTTCCTAGCCCGCAGCCCCAGGCATCCCAAGAGACCCGCAGGTGGGCCCGAGACGTTGCCCCAAGGCAGCCCTAGACCAGCCCAGGACGGCCCATCCCTCGCGGCCGCAAAGCGGCTCACAGTCGGCACAAGACCGCCCCCCGACCGCCCCAGGACGCCCCATGCCCGAGCGACTGTCCGAGCCTCCCAACTGAGGGGGGTATCGCCACTGTTGGTCTGCGCCTCTCCTGACTAAGAGCCAAGAGGGGCGCAGACGCCGCTACTGAGCACAGCGATCGGCCGGGCCAGGATCGGTGAGGTGGCGAGCTGACGCCCCCCGAGCATCTGAGCGGGACGAGGCCCGACGACCCTGAGATCCGACGTCTCGACAAAAAATGCAGCATCGTGAAAAATCACGACTGGAGCCCGAGAACCCGTCGTTCTGCCCCATTTTTCGAGCCCAGGGCTCGGGGCCCGAACCTAGGCGAAAACGCTCGGCTCGAACCACTTGAGACGCCAGATTCCCAGGCAACGACGACAAGCGGCGCAGGCGGCCGCGGCCGCGACGAGCGGGCGGTGACGTCCTGCCCGAAAGTGTACCCGGCGCCGCGAGGGCTGGTGCCCCAGCCGAGGCGGTCGTCCGGGTCGCTCCTGCGCCGGGGGGGGGGGGCGCGCGTCCCCGCCTGCTGCTGCTGCTCCTCGTCCTCCTTCTCGTCCAGTGCTCCTCGTGCTCCTCCTCGTCCGCCGCGTCCTCAGTCCTCGTCTTCCTCCTACCCCTCGTCACCCCTGTCGTACTCCCCCTTCTCGTCCTCCCTTCGGGGAGACCTAAGACTCGGATTAGGGTGACTCAGGCTGGCCTGATGGGGTCATCATAAGAATGACGAGAACCAGGCTGAAATTTGACGCGAACTCCCGCTGCAAACATCCTACGCAAACTGGACCGTCAACATCCAGAACGCGCTCGTCAGAAAAAGCGTCGGCAAACTCGAGATGTTACGTTTCCCCGATCCTCCACCTTCTTGCGTCGTGAATGACGACGGCTTTCGCCTGTCGGCGGGCGTGGCTTCCACCTGGTCTTCGCCTGTCGGCGGGTGTGGCTTCCACCTTCTCCCCAACTGTCAGGGTACGAGAACGGTATGCTCTACCAGCGCCCTGATCGACACCCTCGACAATCCTCCTCCTCCTCCTCCTCCTCCTCCTCCTCCTCCTCCTCCTCCTCCTCCTCCTCCTCCTCCTCCACTCGAGGCCCCGCCCGTGGACGTCCGCCTGTGCAGGCTGGAGAGCTGCAAGGACGAGGACATGATCAAGATCGTGCTGGCTCTCGACGACAAGTCCAAGGAGGGGGTGATCACAGCCTCGCTGCACGCGATGGGAGCCCAGGTGACCAGCGGCATGGCCCCCTCGGGCTACATGGAGGACGAGATCAGCGCTTGGATCGACGCGCTGAAGGCGGCTTGAGCCTCGCACGTGAGCCTTTCGGCAGCTTCGCCGCCCTGTGCCCAGACGTGGAGGGGGTCGTGTCGCTGTCGTCCGAGTCTGGGGAGGAGGAGGGATGTATGTAGAGTCCAGTCCCCCCTACTGCCCCCGCGGCATCGCAGTACTCGCGGTGCTCTGACGGACTATCGCGGGGGCAGTGGGGGGGACGTGGACGGCTTTCCTCTTTAGACGCCGACGTGGAGTCGGCAATCTCCGAAGCCACTGGCCGTCTTGGTGGGTGAGTTTCTCTGGACCGATGTGCACGCACTGCCTCGGAGCCATCGAGCTTCGGGACGCGCAGCCGTGCGCACCTGGCATAGTAGCAGCACCAGCACGGTGCGGACGGCGGACATGTGAATTCTTCTAGCAGTTTTACCCTGTGACGGGTTGCTCAGCTCGCGTGCAGCGTGTTGTCAGTCTTCATGTGCACGAGTGCTGGTGCGCTTACGCGTTAGTTGTTTCTTGCGAGCATTGGAGTATCGCGTGATCTTGTCCAGCAGCCGCGTGCAAGCAAGCAAGCAAGCTCCTCCTCCACCACATCCTCGTCGGCGTCGCCCTCCTCCTTCCTGATCCGCGGCCCCAGCGCCGGGCCCGGGCGGCTAGATCCCTTGCGCCTCGCCCCTGCCCTGGAACCACTCCCTGGAAGGCTACAGTCGGGGCGTTGACCTAAGGAACGATAAATAAGGAACGAGGCCCCTTTTTCCCATATATGAAACTCAGATGTTCCATGGAAAACCTCAGGAAAACATAAGAAAACCCGAGGAGCACTGTAAACCAATCAAGGAACACCGAGCCCCTCCCCAAGGAAAAGGGTTCCTTCTCCAGCGCCCCGACTGTATTTCTCACCAGAACGTCGCCCATCTCGCTCTGTCCGGCACCCGCGTGACCAGGGGACTGAGAGCGCCGTGCCCCCGAGAGAGCACTGCACTGCTGGCCTGTTCTGCCTGTGGGCCCTCTCGGAGCCCACTGGGGCTCCTCATTGCCTTCCTCACCATCCTCTCTCTGTCTCTCTCTTTCCCACCCTCGAGAGCGAACATGCTGCTGTTGCTGTTGCTTCTCTCCTGTGTGCTTCACCATTGCCTTCTTTGGCTTAGGCCATTGGGGACGTGCGGGACGTGCAGGTCCCACGGAATGCTCGCAGGCCTGTACGAGGCTCCTCCCTGCTCAGCGCAGGGACCCGAGTTGGCAACCATCGTCAGTTTGAACTTGATTGGTGATGGGTTGGAGAAGAGAAGAGCGCAACCGAAGATTCTCTCACATCTCGAGCCCAGCCGGCAGTTTTTTCACCGACGGAGACGGGTGCTCGAGGTTCGCGCGCTCATCGAATGCAAGCTACATACCAGAGTGACGTACAATTTCTCCCCATGTACTACATCCTCTCAGTGACCGATGCCACCTACAGTCTCATCGTTGCGTGATCAGCCCAGAACATTCAAGTTGGTACGACATGACCTCTCGCAGCGGCCCGAGACATGGCTGGCATGGTTGGTGCAGGCAGCAGCCGTACTCTACAGGATCGTGGGCCCCCACCGTTGGCAGCCTGAAGAAGCGTGGAGGGAATTCCCGCGCGAGGATCGAGCTCGACGGCTACAGACATGGGGCTGGGCATGGAGCGGCCCTGTCGTCCCGCGGACAGTACGGCAGACTGGACGACTCCAGCGAGGGCTCGACATCAGATTCGGAGATATACATCTACGACAGGGTCCGCAGGACGCCACACGGGACCCAGATGGAAAAGCCGCGTCGGGGGTGGATGACGATGCGCCCGAGATCGAAGAACTGGAGCTCAGAAGATTCGTGATGCCATAGCCATTTGACCAACCCGCCGCAAAATGCCAAGCCGAGCAGTTCCTACATGAGACTCTGGACAAACATGCGGGCTCGAGTCAAGGTGAACCTGGGGCACACCTTCGTACATGGCTGTGGAGCCGTCGACACCGTTGACACTTTCGAGCCTACCTCTCCACCTTCCTTGCATCCCTGTGAATTCGTGGGGGCGAGGCCTCTCACACTCCGAGTTGTTCGTGGCGCTGCTCTGTGGAGTACGATTGCAATCGTGCCCATCATGTCTGGAGTGAGTGGGCTAAAACATGAGATGTCGACGGCATCGCATCCAATTCGTTGGGCACGGAAAGTATTCATCGTGCTACCTCCCGAGTGGCGTCGTGCAGCGTTTGACTGGGATCAGGAGATCCTCCAACTAGCTCTACTGAGTTCCTAGGTCAGGAGAATGCACCACACAAGGCTGTAGTATATGGCTTGGGTACACATGCGTCCCAGCATGTCGGCAAGGCGTGCCTCCGAGCAGGGCCACTTCCTGGACTTCTAGGACGGGTTCAGGAACATCTCAGAGCGCTCCTCTTGTGCTATGCCAAAATACAGGCCCAGCAAGAAAGAGATAAGAGGAAGCGGAGGGTCCTTGTTCTTGTTACCTCTTCTGTGGGCTCCTACAGAAGCCGCCAGCTTCCACTACGAGACCCTAGCGACACGACGACTCGACCCTACTACAATGTATCGAGCGGACGCGAAGGAGTCGGAATTGGTGTCTTCGTCGAGGCATGGGCACCCTGTACCACCTCCCAAGGAGAAAGGCCCCCGACGCAAACCTCCCTCCTGGCGACGACCCCGACCCAAACGTATCCCACCCCCAATTGGGCATACGGCTACGCCAGCCACCGCTGCCCCCCCCAAGGTATCCTGGAGCCCGGTCTGAGCCCGCCTAGTACGCGGAACTGCACGCCCTACAGGTTCGCGTAAGGAACCGCTTGACGGGAGAAGGTCCTCTCTGGGTTCTGGCACCCGAGCGTCTGGGACTTCCACTGGCGTTTCTGGCAGGCCGCTGGCGGCCACTACCATTGTGCCGAACGAGTTCCAAGGCTACTCGAGGTGCTATCCTGTTCCAAGCGTCACCGTTGGGAGACACGTGTCTGCTGAACTTCTCCAGGATGCGCATGGCGAGATTCCAGGCCGATCGTCATTTGAAACGCCTCGGTCTGCCAGCAGCGAGTTCCAGGCGCGTGGGCTTCAGACGCTCGCGAACGGTGCAATATCCTCAAGGGTGAATTCGATGAAGTTCGAACCCGCGCGCACCTGGTACAGGAAACCAGCCCGTGTCATCTTTTCGGGCACGTCGGGCATGGAAGGACCGAGTCACGGCCAGCCGCTTCTGCGCGACGCACCGGTCAGAGTCTCTCCCTCCTTCGGCACAAGAATCACAACTCGTCGCAGGCCCCCTCAAGCTCTCGCAGCTGCCAAGCTCGTGGAGACTACCGATGTGGTCGGTGTCGCAAGATTCGATTCGAACCGCTACGCCCAGCCTACTGGAGTGGGCCTCGGCGGCTCGCATAGCAGGTCCTGTGTTGAAACGAGGAGTGAGATATCTGTGGCAGAAGTTTGAAGGATCCCCCTCCACCTCAGCAGCGGCATGATCTTTGAAACATCATGACCTTTTCCTTCTCCCAAACAACCAATAACATTGTCACAGTATACGGTAAAACAGCAGACACACTATGGACAGCTGGAAGGGCTGGCGTAGTCCGTTGGCTCCACCAGACCGCCGAGTTAGATGAACATTGGCAAGTCCGTCACGATATCTCTCGATATGATGCGGCAATGTGGCTGTGGTCTCGTGCATTTCAAAACCTCCCATCTGGGCTGAGATCTCATTGTATGATATCTCACCCTTCTAAGTCAACATCTCCGCCGTATGCGCTCCCCTCGGTGAAGAGCAAGTGCCTCCTGCCAGACAGTACTCGGTGCAGTGCGAAGGCAGGCCACGAGTAAGCGCGCAAGATTGTGAATTCAGCTGGCGCTCCAACTACTGCTGGGCACCGCTACGTTAGCCGTGCTGCCCGTCACCTGTCACGCGTCAGTGGCATTTCCGATGGGTGTTCGACATGTCGGTCGCGTCGACGGAGGTCTAAAAAATGGTCGACGAGCTTGATCCTCCTAGTGATGATCGTTGCCTGCGGTGGGGTTGCACCCTGGATCCCGCATCCATCGTCGTGGCCGACGCCGACCATGCGCATGAGCAGCGCAATGCTACCGCGCTGGGCCAGGTTTGGAAGGAGATCCCAACAGAAATTCAAAAGCGTCTCGGGTCCGAGGCTGCCCCGCGTCGAAAGAGGAAGCAAGGAACATACCAAACACACCTTCCAGTGAGCTCCCCGAACTAC